TTTATTTGTTTGTTTGTTTATTTATTTATTTATTTATTTATTTATTTATTTATTTATTTATTTATTTATTTATTTATTTATTTATTTATTTATTTATTTATTTATTTATTTGAATCTATATGCCACCCACACTACCCAAAGGTCTCTGGGCAGCTTACAACATTTAAAATGCATTAAAAAAGATAAAAAGTTAAAAACAATTAAAATATAATGCTCTAAAAATTGCCATCAGGACCCACAGTTGATATTATTTCAATTAAAAACCTTCTGGAACAGGAAGGTTTTGACCTGATGCCAAAATGTCACCAACGTCGGTGCTGGAAAAATCTCCCTTGGGATGGCATTCCATAGTCTGGGGGCAGCTGCTGAAAAGGCCCTTTGTCTACAAGCCATCCCTCTTACCTCCTTGAGGGACAGCTCTTTCAAAAGGACCCCTGGCTAGATCTTAACTGCCGGGTAGGCTCATATGGAAGGAGGTGGTCCTTCAAGGTATCCAGGGCCCAAATTGTTCAGGGCTTTATATGTCAAAACAAGCACTTTGAATTGGGCCCGGGCAGTGACTGGTTTCCCTGAGAGGCCCCACCACTTACCAGCTATGCAGCTCAATTCTGAACCAGTTGCAGTCTCTGGACGATCTTCAAAGGCAGCCCCACATAGAGCGCTTTGCAGTAATCTATGTGAGATGTTACCAGTGTGTGTGTAACTGTCATGAGACTCCGATCAACCAGATAGGGGCGTAGCTGGTATAATTTCTGCAGCTGAAGGAAGGCGCCTCTGGCCACCGAGTCCACCTGGGCTTCCAGTGTTAGACTGGGGTCCAGGAGCACCCCCAAGCTGCAGACCCTGTTCCTTAGGGGGTGTGCAACCCCATTCAGGGCAGGGAAATGGCCCTCCAGCCTGTCTGGTGAAGTACCCACTAACAGCACTTCTGTTTTGTCTGGATTGAGTTTCAATTTATTAACCATCATCCAGTCCATTATCAGGTCCAGACATGAGTTCAGCACAGAAACCGCCTCACCTGGATTGGTGGAAAATGAGAGGTAGAGCTGAGTGTCGTCAGCATATTGCTGACTCCTCAGCCCAAACCTCCTGATGGCCTCTCCCAGTGGTTCCATGTACAGTCAACCCTCGACTTATGAACGGCCTTATTTATGAACATTTTGACTTATGAACCGCCCTCATAAGGAAATATTCCCTCTACTTGTGAACTTGGATTTGAGTTACAATCTCCCCCCCACTGCTGCCGTCCCCCCACCGCCACCAGCGCTGCTTTCAGAGGTCCCCTGCCAGTCCTCCCAGCACCATTGGAAGAAAAACATCACCTACCAGGTACTATGGACCGAGCTGTTTCATCCAGCAGCACCTGGAGTTGCCAGGCAACAACCCGCTCCAACACCTTGCCGAAATATGGGAGGTTTGCCACTGGTCAGTAGTTAACCACCTGCCTTGGGTCCAGGTTAAGCTTTTTTAGGAGTGGCTGAATTACCACCTCTTTCAAGGTGGTAGGGACCTCTCTCTCTCAAAGAGGCATTCACGGCCTCCTGGACCCAGGTGCGAACCCCCCTGGCAGACCTTCCAATTAGCCAAGATGGGCAAGGGTCGAGCGGAGTGTGTTGCTTTTTCTAATTTGCAGTCTAAACTGACTATTTTGCACAAATCTGCAAGTGTTACCATGGAAGCAACTTCAACAAGATTGCACAAGGTCTATCTAGTCTAGCTATTGTTTCTCACAGTGGCCAGCAGGATACTTCTGGAAGGGCCTGGAGATTACCATCTGCCCCTGGTTATTCATCAGCATCTAGTATTCAAAATATAGTAGCCAGTATCCTATTCAACTTTATGCATGTGTCACTGGAAACAAAGATGCAGCTGGCTCTGTTACCTGCCTAGTTGTGTGGCTGCTCATGTGATCAGTCACACAAACACACAAATAAGTGAACTCATCTATACTACCACTGCTGCTTCTATGTTTGTGGTCACAGACATAGAAAACTGAGCAGGATACTGGCAGATGTCCCTAAAGAATGTGGTTTTGTTTGCTGGAAGTGACTGGATGCCACTCAGCTCACACTGAAGAAAATGCAAATCCTTGCATGAATTGAAAAAGAGAGAAGGATCTCCTCAGGCTTCCTAGACTGGCCTTTACTTCATCTAATCTATGCAGGCCTGCCTTCCACCTAGGCTGATATTCTTAGGGTTGCTATGTCTCCTTTCTTCCTTCTCACACTTCTTTCTTGCCTCTGGAAGAGGAGAGAGGAAACATCTTGCCTTTGTTTTTGAGAAATGAAGGGGCAAACATGGGTCCCTGAATTTCCACCTTAATTAGTTACAACTATGACTCTATCTTTCCTAGATCAATGCATTTTTCTTATAATCACCCGTTTTCTTAGTTTTTTTATAAAATAAGTGTAGGAGTGATTTATTTCAAAAAAGAGGAAACATGTTGTACCAACCATTCTATTTCGAGGAGCTAAACCCAAAAGGTAACTTTGCTACTACTTGGTGCTACTTGCCATTCTAGCACAATGTAGCTATTATGGCCTGCATCTGTTGGTCATATATAGCTTTAAACCTTTGTTAAACAGCTGAATTGCTATATATCTTAGCTCAGTCCCAGGGACACAGGGTGGGTATACTCTGAAGTCTAGACAGCAAGTTGAAATGTAGAAAGTTGACTATTAATACGAGTAGTTGACAACTGTTGGGAATTAATGAATCTCAATTAAGAGACTAGACTTCTAAGCAGGTATAAACATTCCACAAATGCTAGAAAATGCTACAAAACTTGTTCTAACTAGCTATAAAGTTCAACAGAGGTCTTTTCCTGAAGACCAGTAAATGCACATACACATCCTTTTAAATAAAAAAGGGCCTTCTGCAGATATCCCAAAAATAAATGAGAGGAGCAAACGCGAAGACAATTTATGAAGGACAGGTACCGGAAAATACGGTCATTCTTGGCAAGTAGCAGCTGTTGTAGAATACATGGGCTTCTACGCAGAAGCCTTGCGTAATTCACAGCTTTGTCACACATACTCGTTGTCACTCAAATGGACTGCAGGAGTCAGAAGACCCAATATAATTCATTTCAGGCCTCATTATGATCAGACACTGACCCTCCTGGTTTTCTTCCATTGTTTCGTTTTGTTTACTGCTGTCAGGGTTACTAGAAAGAGGCTGGTTCCTTTGGATTTTTTAACAACTGGCAATTTCAATTTTATAGAATTTGAGACACTGGATTTACATCTGGAGACAAGACATACCGAACCTTGTGTCAATCAGGTCAACAATGACTCCTTTCTACTTTCTGCAGTCAAATACCTGAACATTTTAAACTTAAGTCTCTGCCCTATAAGATGTTACATTTTTTGCCCTTTTTTAAAAAGGATTTTGTCAGGTTTTCTATAAACATTCATGTTTCAGAAGGTGGCATATACTTAATCAACAGCACATGCAATAAATATTTATGTGTTCCAATGAGTATAATGAATTAAATTACTGAGGTTGTTCTGTCATTGTCATTGTCATCATCATCATCATCATCATCAGGAATGCACTTCTTAAATAAACTAAGCAGCATACAGAATTGTTAAAAATTCTGTTTAAATGCTTGTGAACAGCAAATAAGGAAGCCAAATGTTTTGTTCTTAAATCCCTTAGTGCCATAAACAAAGTGAGCCCAGGGTCTTTCTTGTTGTCTAGATTTCCATGATGATGACTTCAAACAACCAAAGAAGAAACAAATAATCCTTTGACACTTTAAAGACTAACAAACAGAATCTGTTTGGCATACACTTTCATGGACTACATCCCACTTCTTTAGAAAGTGGCCACAGGACTC